CCAAGGCACAGGAAAGCCAACAGATGGTAAACACCTCCTTTGTGGCTCAGGCCACCCCAGACATCAGAAAAAAACTTCAGAAACTAGAGGGTTTTGCCAGGATGAGCATCACCCAACTAATATAGATTGCCAATAAGGTCTACATGAACAGGGAGGTCGCAGCCAAACAGGAAGCTGACAAAAAAGATGAAAAAGAAAGTCAGCCTCCTTGCCGCCGCCCTGAAAGAAAAGGACAACACAGAGACGGGGAGACCCCAACTGAAAGGGTAAGCCCAGAACCCCCTTGGCAAGGGATCAATGTGCCTACTGTAAAGAGAATGGGCGTTGGAAAAATGAACGCCCAGCTGCTACAAGGAAGAACCTGAGAGGAGGACCTCATTGGCCTTGTGGGAATGGACTCTGACTGAGGGGGAGTGGGCTATTTCCTCCTTGGCCCCCATGAGCCCACGGTCAGAATGAAGGTGGGGGGCCAACAAGTGACGTTTATGGTTGATACTGGGGCCAAGCACTCTGTTGTCACCTCCCCAGTGGCCCCTTTCAGCAAAAGGAATGCAACCATCCTTGCGGTCACCGGGACGCAGGTGATACAATAATAGCCCTTTTGCCAGGCTTGCCAGTATGAACTCGGAGGCCACAAGGTCTGACATGAATTCCTTTATCTGCCTGATTGCCCCATCCCTCTCCTGGGCTGAGACATACTGTCCAAGCTAGGGCTCAGATAACCTTTGAGCCCACTGGACACACTAACTTCCGACTGAACCCAAGGCAAGAGGAGACAGGGTCTCTGAACAGGTCTGGCCAAATTGCCTAAGCCCAGTTGTGTGTGAAATGCTTCAGAACACTTGATGGAGACAAAGCAGAGCAACCAAAATTGAGATCATGAGACAGGCCTGGGGGTTTGGAATTTGCAGAGGTTGGAGGACCTGGGAGTCAAGTCGGCCTTCTCTAACAAGGCAAGATCTCCAGCTGTTTAGATTCTTTAGCTTCACACAGCACCTTTCCCTGTCATCTCTGGGTGGTGGGAGGTTGGGGCGAGCATCCCCCAGGGATGGGACAGGTCTCAGGTAGGGAGAGGCAGGGGACACTGGCTCTTCTGGAGAGGACTGGGGCAAGGAAGTTGGGGGAGGAACCCTACTAAAATGAAAACAGAGAAGAGGTCAGATCAAAAGCCAAGCTACTACACTGTTCAAAGGCAGATTCCAGTTGTCTGCCTGGGGTAGGGCTGACATTGTTTCCAAACCTCCTTTATAAGAGTCACCTGGGAGGACCTTGTTAAAAAGGCAACTATTTGGATGATGGGGTAGCCAGGTGATGGGTATTACGGAGGGCACGTGTCGTGATGAGCACTGGGTGTAACTACTACCCGACCTATGCAAACCCACTGAATCAAAATGGGTGGGATGGGGGGAATATCCCAGAAGCTGTGTGTTTAAAAAGCAACCCCCGGGGGCACCTAAGTGGCTCAGAAAAAAAAAATGTAGATGACTTCCTCCTCACCAGTGACACAGAAGAAGACTGCACAAAAGGCACCAAGGCCCTTCTACAGCTCCTGTCAGACTTGGGATACCAAGTGTCACAGAAGGCGGCACAAATCTGCCAAAAACAGGTTCAATACCTTGGTTTTCTCCTCACCCAAGGGAAAGGGCCAGAGAGGAAAAGTGTCATCATCTCCCTGCCACAGCCCCAGACAAAAAGGGGCCTATGAGAATTCCTGGGGGCTGTAGGATTCTGCCTTATCTGGATCCCTGGGTTCTGGGCAAAACAAGACCCCTTTATGATCTCTTAGGGGGACCAGATTGAGAAACCCCTGCCTGGACTGAGGAAGCAGAAGCCGCTTTCACAGAGATAAAGGCCACCTGGGTCAGGGCTCCAGCCCTGGGTCTACCAGATGTAGAAAACCCTTCAATCCCTTTGTGCATGAAAAGACTGTTGGACCCTGGCAATGGCCAATTGCTTACCTGTCAAAGAAGCTGGACCCCGTGGCAGCGGGATGGTCACCATGCCTCAGGGTGCTGGCAGCCACAGTCCTACTCATCAAGGAGGTGGACAAACTTACCCTGGGGCAAGAACTTAACACACAGGGACACCACTTCTTTCCAACTCTTGGCTAGCACAATACCAAGGGCTCCTCTGCGAAAACCCGCGGTCACCCTCGAAACAGTAAGGACATTAAATCCAGCAACCTTTCTCCCCACGGAAGAGGGGGAACCAGACCATGACTCTTCCGAGGTGACTGATGAAGTCTATGCAAACCATCCAGATCTGCGGGATCAAACCAGAAAGAATCCAGAGCTCATGCTGTTCAGTGATAGCAGCAGTTACCTACAGGAGGGTGCCCAGAAAGCGGGTTATGCAGTAACCACAACCACTGAAGTCCTAGAAGCTAAGGCATTACCAGCTGGGTGGTCAGCTCAACAGGCTGAATTATATGCCTTAGACCAAGACCTCACCCTTCGTGAAGGCAAGCGAGTCAACATCTATACTGACTCTCGATACGCCTTTGCTACTGTACATATACATGGAGCCATCTACAAGGAAAGGGCCCTCCCAACCACAGCAGGAAAAGCTATCAAGAAAAAGGAGGAGATACTGAGACTCCTTGAAGCCGTCTGGCTTCCAAAGGAAGGAGTAATCCTGCACTATAAGGGACACCAGAAAGGAGACGACCCCATAGCACAGGGAAGTTGTCTGGCAGATAAGGCAGCCAAGACCACAGCCAGTGAGGACATAGACAGAGCCCCTTCTCTCACCATGGCCCTAACACCCCCAGAAGAAGTCCCTCCACCCAGTCACACTAAAAAGGAAAAGGAATGGGCCATGGCTGAGGGGGCCACCCTGACTGAAAAGGGGTGGTGGATGATGCCAGATGGGCACATCTTTGTCCCAACAGCAACTGGAGGGCAGCTAGTCAAGGAACACCACTGACTCACTCATCTGGGAAAAACTGCATTAGAAGCCCTTCTCAAGAAGCACACTACATCAGTCAGCTGCCAGCACTATGACAAGCAATGAGTGAACGATGCATAACACGAGCTAAAAATAAGGCTCGGTCTGCACCATGGTCCCCTCCAGGTGTCCAGAGGATGGGAGCAACCCCCTTCGAAGATCTAGAGGTAGACTTCACAAATGTGCAGCCAAGCAGGGGGTTCAAATATCTCCTAGTAATAGTATACACATACTCTGGGTGAGTCAAAGCCTTCCCAACCAGGATGGAGCAAAGCCGGGAACTAGCTAAAGTCCTCTTGCAGGAGATCGTACCCCAGTTCGGCCTGCCATTAACGATCCATAGTGACAATGGACCCGCATTTGTAGCAGACATTGTACTCCACACCGCTTACCGGCCCCAAAGTTCAGGGAAAGTAGAGCAAAGGAATCACACCCTCAAGGGAACCTTAGCAAAGTTTTGTCCGGAGACTAACTTTCATGGCCAGATCTGCTACCCCTAGCTCTCCTGTGTGCTCACTGCACACCTGGGACATCAGGTTTCTCCCCATTCGAATTAATATATGGACAGCCTCCCCCGTGCTTGGGAAGCCTTCCAGGAAACTTGCATCAGGTTGGAGATAAAGGGATAAAGGAGCAGCTTCAGGCCCTGGGGGCCCCTTAAATAAATTACAAAAGTACACCTTTGAGAGGGCCCCAATCACCTTAGGGTCTCAGGTACACTCTTTCCAGACAGGGGACTCAGTTTGGGTCAAAGACTGGAAGAAAAAAGAAAGCTCATCATTTGGACGAGGAGCCGCACCAGTGGAGAGTCCAGCCAGATTTCACGAACCCACTCCGGCTTCACCTTCAACGAGACCCCACCGACTGATGAACACGTGCTCATCGTGGTCCCTGGCTCTCATTGGCATGACTTCCCTCATCTTGGGAGTCATTCTCTACACTGTTGCCCCTCCTGACTGGACCTTCCCCCAGAAGCTTCTACCTAAGGTCATAGATCCTACTTTTACTGGCCCTCTGCTGTCTACTCCTGAGCGCATTTTACCATGGTTTTCCTGGCCCCAGTCAGTCATGGTCTGCTACCTGGTGTGCAGTTAAGTTTATGATTAAGTCCGTGTTTGCCCCAAGCCTTGCAGTCAACCCTCAGAGTCAAACAGAATGATGCCCTCTAAACTAGGTGTTTAAAGGGGCATCAAAAGGGGGAATGATAAGGAAAATCTGTGTCCTAAGATGGCCGACTGAGCCAGCAAAAGAGTCCCAGTCCTTGCCCAAGGCCTCTTCTGGGTTCTTCTCCCTGCTCTGCTTCGCGCATGCGCCAAAAGTGCCAAGTATGCGGAAGTAGAAGTGTATAAATTGCCCCCTTTGTTTGTGGTCAAGGCTCAGACCTTTGGAGACCACTCTCCTCTGAGCCCACTGGCGTTAAATAAACCTCCTATCCTCCAAGATCTCTGAGTGCCGCTTGGTTCTTCTGTCAGGCGATCCAGTCCAGGTTCCGTAACGCTATCACCCTATACTATCTAGCTTCTTGTACCCTATTTACATTTAACTCCCTTTCTCCTTTTCTGAATTGTCTTCTACCAATTCTCCCTAAATGTGATTCTTTCACCAAGTCTTTGCTCTGAACCCACTCTGGACAACAGCAATTTCATCTTCTTTCTTAGCTTTGCCCGTTTGAAAATAAATCATCACCATTATGTGGTCTTCTTCCTTAAATTCAGTACTTCATAATTATCCATGATTACTTCTCCTTTGTTGACATATATTTAATTACACAACCTGAACACTCTGCCATCCATTTAATTTAAGTCAATTTAACAAACATTTACAGTCCCCTTATTTTATGCAAAACACTGTGCTAGGCTCTATGTGGCATAAAAAATGAGCAAGTTATATTCCCTCATCCCAAGGTAGTTATCTGTCAGTCAGGAATATCTTCTCCAAAAAGGTAAAACAGAGTTGATAAAGTGTCTATTTTATAGAGGTATTTTGAGAGTTCTTTGTTTTTTGTTTTGTTCGTTCGTTTGTTTTGGTAGCACTAGGGTTTATTAAACTGTGCCTTAGTTCGGGCGCATGGTGCTCTTGATGTATAAAGCCCTAACATTCTGCCAATTCTTCTTGAGGAAGGACACCACGAAATTGACAGCTAAGTGGATGTCATACACAAGCTCATCTTCTGTCATCTTCACGTGGCCAACAGCCACTGCCAGACACAGCACCTTCTTCATCAGGAATTTGATGGTGGACTTCACTTCACCCACTTTGGCCACCATGTTTTCATTGTGGGTCAGCAAGGAAGGGACACATAATAAGTTCTTACTGTGTATTACCTGATATGATGTTGCTTTTAGCGTTATTGACAAATCACCTCTTTGGTCCTCTCCAGTCTTAAAATGCTATGACAAAAATATATAGAACACAAAGCTAAATGTGTCAAGAGCAATAGGAGACCTAGCAGACTTCATTCTAAACTAGTGATTAAACATCACCAGTAATGAGACATACTGATATCATTTACCTCTTGATAATGATGCACTGAGAAGGGCCATTTACCTTTGTGATATTCTTGCTATATATAAATATATAGCCTGAATCAAATCATGAGAAAACATCAGACAAACCCAGAACAAGAGGCATTCTACAAAATAACTGTTCAGACTCTTCAAAAGTCTTAAGGTCATGAAAACAGACTGGGGAACTGTCTCTGAGTGGAGAAAAATTAAAGCATGCCAGATAAAGGACCAGATAAATGACATTAGTGGGACAATTGCTGGAATCTCAAAAAAGGGTATGGATTAGTTAATGGTAGTGTATCAATCTAATTTTCTGGCTCTGATCATTATGCTATGGCTATTTAAGTTATTGAGATTTGGGGAAGCTGGGTGAATGGTGTACAGAATTCTTTGCACTATTTTTGCAAGGTTGAAATTATTTCAAAATAAAAGGTTTTCATTAAAAAATTAGAGCAATATAAAATGCAAATGTAAGATAAAGGAAAGTGAGAATTCTTCCTCAATGCACGGGTGAAAGGGAGAGAATGAAGTGGATAGCAGAAGGATTCTGGAAGATGCAAGCATCTGAGCTGGGATTTGAGGCCCTGATATTGAGGAAAAATATTCTAGGCAAAGAAAAGAGCAGAATTACAAGCAGCAAAAAAGCAAAAAGGAAGGTGTGTTTGGATAGAAGTAATCGAATTCAACGTCTTTGAGGGGGAGTAGTGCGAGACAGGAGCCAGACTAGAATATTTTTATATCTCTGTAGTAGGCTGTATAAATGTGCCTCCCCACCAAAATGTCCCTATCCCAAACCCCAGAACCTGTGAATGTTACTTTCCATGGTATAAAAGACTTTGTACATGTGATTAAATTAAGGATCTTTTTTTTTTTTTAAGATTTTATTTATTTGACAGAGAGAGACACAGCGAGAGAAGGAACACAAGCAGGGGGAGTGGGAGAGGGAGAAGCAGGCTTCCCGCTGAGCAGGGAGCCCGATATGGGGCTTGAACCCAGGACCCTGGGATCATGACCTGAGCTGAAGGCAGATGCTTAACGACTGAGCCACCCAGGCGCCCCTAAATTAAGGATCTTGAGAAGGGGAAAGGATCCCGGATTATACAGGTGGGCCCAAAAGAATCTCAAGGGTCCTCGTGAGAGGGATGGAAGAAGATTCAATGCAGGAGGATATGGAACAAAGGAAGCAGAGGTTCCTCCTACAGCAGCGATAGGAAACTAATAACAGTCTCTGTTACCTTGCTTGGGGCCCATTTCAGTTTTACCTCCATCTGGACTATTGTTGTAGCCTCCTCCCTGTTCTCTCTGCTCTGTTCTCTAACTCTCCCTTCTATGAAATGATGTTAAATTTATTTATTTTTTTTGTCAAGCCCTGGATTGATCGTATCATTCCTCTAAACCAAAGTTCTCGAGGGTGCCCAGTACCTGCTAAAAAACATCCATGCTTACTATCCTGGCATTTAAGAATCTGGACCCAACATGCACTTCTAACTTCATCTGGGTGTCTCTGCAGCATTAACTTTTCGCCCAGGCAAATGAATTTAGGCACGGTCTCTGGGGCTCTCCTCCTGCATTTCAGAATGCCAGTTTAAAGGTCCAGATCATGTCCCTGCTCTTTCATATCATAACCCATAATAATGTCTCTCTCTACTGAACACCTACAGTCTACTGATTGTTCTCTGAAACCCTCATTCCAACTGTTTCTAGTGTCCAGGCCCAAAGTAAAGAGCCCCCCAAATTCACAAACAACTTAATATCTGAGAAGTGAAACACGGAAAAATCCCAGTGAATGAGATTGCCATTTGAAGACATGATTCAGGATTTTGTAAATATGTACAAATCTGGGATGCAGATTTAGAAAATACTCAAGGCAATTAAAGTGTGTAAAATATGGAGGGGAGCGGGATGGGAAGATGGGGTAACTGGTGATGGACATTAAGGAGGGCATATTATGTAATGAGCACTGGGTGTTACATGCAACTGATGAATCACTGACCTCTACCTGTGAAGCTAATAATACACTATATGTTAATTAGTTGAATTTCAATTAAAAATATAAAGTATGTAAAATAGAATTCAGGAAGATTAAAACTAATAAAAAATGACCCAGACAACATGCTATAATGGTTAGGTGGCTCTATGGTGATGTTTTCTGGGTTTGAAACTTGGATCCATCACTAGTCAGTTTTATTTCCATAACTGGGATCATTGTCAATTAAAATAACTGATTGTCCTTCCTCATGATGTAATTATAAGCAAATTTTCTGATTATAGTACTTAGTTTCACACATAGATCTTCCTACCAAGAGAGAATCTACCAGATGAACTGTGGTTCCCAATGTGAATTTCTAAACTGGCATTCAGGTTCACACATTACCCTCTTGTGAATTCGGTTAAGTCAATCACTTAGGCTAAGTCCGAAATCGCATAAATCAAGAGAAGGAATTGAAGCAATTTGCTGCATTGCTCTGGCCAGTGAAAATAACTTTGCATTATTTGCATCTGAATTATTTAGACTGGTTGTCTGTAATGATAAAATCCACCAGATTATTACTCAACTTTTCACTGTAATTTGCATAGATAGCCTCCTTGTGCACCTGGCATTGTCCCCGAAAGTATTGGGCAGCTGCTCCATTGAAAACAATAACAGCTGTGAAGCGTAAATCATTTCATGTTTTAGTAAGATGACAACAACATGATATGCAAGCAGCAGACGGGAAATTCCTTTTGGACATTGCTTGTTGAAAATGCAGAACAGCAAAGAACTATGCAATACAATTGTGTGTGTTAAACTCTGCAGATAGAAGCCAGTGACACTCTCAGAAAAACCTGGTGATTCACAGTTTCAGAGAGTTGCCAAGAGCATGTTATCTTAGCACATACCTTAAATCCCTGAAATCTCATGCCTAAATGAAACTGAAGAGAACTGAGAAGCACTACATAGCTTAATTCATAATTCTCTTCATATGATGGTATTGAGTCATATTAATTAATGTGGCTGTGAAACTTTTTGATGAAGTCTCTCTATATTCTTTTTACTCAAATTCTCTCTTTGGTAAATGGTTATAGAACCACATAAAGTCCCAAACTCTAATATATGTATACAGTGAAAGACAGAAAGACACAGGAAAAAAAATATATCCCATGCTTATTTGCATAATTTCTCATTGCACTATAGTAGCATGCCACTGCAAATGAGTACAACCAATTACATGAAATCAAACTCCTAAAAACTCTGTCTTTAGAAAGAAGGTGACTCAATACAGAAACCTACAGATTACCAGACATTCAGAGGCAGTGGAGACTGACAAATTCAACAAGCGCTCTAGCTGACCTTTAGATGATTTTGATGAAGAAAAGGACAGCTCACTTGAGTTGGAGAAAGAAGTGCTCACCTAAGTGAAAATATTTGGCAGGCACTGAGCTGGGTCCTCTGTCCCAAGTGAATCTCAAGTCACCTGTCCGAAGGTGTGCCCTTCTATTTTTTAATTTGAAAGCAAAAGACCTCTTTTTCAATCCAAATATCCCAGTCAGGGCACTACCTCCCTATGTATCACCAGGATCCTTTAAAAATCTGATCTTTAATGCTCTCTGATCCAGTGTAAGTTATTTCCTTGCTTAAAAATGGATTCCCATTGTCTCTAGCATGGAATTCTAACACTTCCTGATGTAGTCTTTGACACTTTGACCTTGACATACTTTTCTTCTCATTTTCAAGCTTTGTTTAATGAAGGTTTTCCAATTGTAAAAATAACATGTGGTTATTATAATCAAATTAAGAATACAAAGAAGTATAAATATTAAAATAAAAATTAAAACCCAGAATTAACCACTATTATTCATATTTAATTTTATTTCCTAATAGTTGCTTTTTACTGTGTGGATATACATTCTCCCTCTTTCTGTTTTTGTTCTTCTCTATACTAGGCCTTTACTTTTAGCACATTCATGAATATTTTTAGCCCTACTATCTAGGAATTCATGACAAAAAGATCATGATGAAACCATTTTAGTGTGTAAGTTATTAAGGAGGATAATACTTTTTGTGTTAGCCAACATTCCCCACTGTTTTCTTCTTTTTTTCTTCCTTGGGATATGGGTATTAGAGAAAAGTCCAGGGGAAAAGTCCAATTCTTGACTTTTGAGCTTAAAAACCCTAATCTTTGAGGACGCTATCATGTAAACTTATACCATCAAGTGTGGAACTAGAGGTTTGGTAGGGCAACCAATCTGTCCTGGTTTGCCCAGGACCATCCTGGTTTAAAAAATGAACATCTCATGTTCTGAGAACACCCTCGGTCCTAGGAAAATCAGGACAGCTGGTCATCCTAGCAAAAGTCAGTTTTTCTTGCTACTTGTTTATCTAAATATCCCATGGTCTTGGAAAGCAAGAGTCCCTGAGGTAGGGCCATGTGCCTTGACACCAGTCAAACCTCAGAAAGACTGAATTGATGGCAGGTAGGTGAGGGAATCTGAGAGCCAAGAAACTGTCTTCTCTTCCTTCCTTAGTAGTACCCAGAAAGCAGCCAGTGGGTCAAGAGATAGAGAGGAAAGATTCTGATTATCTGCATTTTTCTGTCTGAGAAACAGGAAATGAGAAAATTAGGAAGTATGAGGAGAACAGCAGAGGAAATGGTGGCTAAGTGAAATGTGAAAGGTCCTGACAGCAACCACAGCACAGCTGGTGGCCCTACTGAAGTTAGAGGCCAAGGCCAGTCAACATGGCAATATCCCTGCCCCCAACTGTATCCAACAGCCTCACTCAGGGGGCCAATGAGAGGGTCCTTGAAATGATTGGCCATAGCTTCTCCAGAGGGTATTTGAAAAACACTGATCTAGTTGAGCCCCCTCATTTTATAGATGAAGAAACAGAATCCCAGAGGAAC